CCCACCACGGCAAGGCACGAGCAAACACCCCGCCGTATCGAAGCATTAATTTATTGGGTCGCACATCGTGCAGCGCGAGCAGGCCGGGGCTAATTTGCGATATAAATCTGGGAGGCGGCGTAATCAAACAGGCACGCTAACACGTATAGCGCCCGGCCGCCTACGCCCTGGTCTGTACCTGCAAGCGGGAGGAAGGGAGTGTTCAACAAATTCGAAGGAAAATTGAGTTTTAAAGCAGTGCAGCGCGGAAAGGATCAAGATAGGGAGCGATATACCAGGATGTTTCTGAGCGGCTTAAAAGGAAAAGAGAAGAGTGTTGGGGTCATTTTACACCTCGCTATGTCCATGCCTCCGGGCGTCTGGCGCCGCGACGACTCTGGCGGCGAGATAAGACGACCGGCACTACAAAGGCACCCCGGGCGCTCCCGCCCCGCCCTGCCTCGCCACGCCACCCGCCCCGCCGACATCCCCCTCGGTCGGCCCATCCCCCATTCCGTGACCGCAAAGCATCTGCCGGCCGGGCGCTCGTGCTGACCAGGCTGGTTGTCTGCGACTCCCCATTCTCTCTTGCCTTTCCCCCGCTCCGGCTCGCTCCCACTTGCCCTCTCCTCCTTTCTTCCCCCCCCCTCCCCCCTAACGCGCGTCTCGCCCTTCCACACGCAGCCTCACGGACTGGATTTTTTGAATGCATTCCGCAATTGTTCCGCAAGCCGTCCGACGTGACCCACGGCATGGGGCCCGCCGGAGCCTGCGAAAAAAGAAACCGTGACTAAGCTGCTCATGAGACTATTTTCCGCGATTTATTTCGCTTCTGGCCTGGCACTAGATGAGTACGCCGTACTTCACCGTAATACGTTTGGTTTATCCTGGTGTAAGGATGGGCGAGTTTCTTCAAATCTATTTTCTCCTACTAACTATTTAACAGCTTTGGCTCCAAAAGTAAAAAAAAAAGTGAAAAAGAAGAAATCTTCAACTCTTTAAATAACTAGGCCAGATTAAGGATTTTACAAGCTCAGTAATGCTGCAGTCAAGTTATTGACAAAACAAACAAGCGATCCAGTCACCACAGAGGACAGTAATTGCAAGCGGGAATAAAACAGAACAGCAGTGTAAAAGATGAACGATGCATATCGCAATGTGTGGGGAGAAGCATCTTGGCACACTGAAGATGTTCATCATGGTTCAACAAGT